CCCCGCCCCGTCACCCCGCCCCTCCCTGCCCTGCGGGCTGGAGGACTGCAGGGCTCTACTGGACTCGGGCAACTCTAGCGCACCTGCCCCTTGGCGGAGGGGTGGCCGAGCCGCTCGCGCAGGCCCGTGTCCACGCCACCCTGGCTGCTGCGGGTGCAAGGAGCCGACAGCCCTGAGGGGCCCGCGATGTCGCGGGCTGGCCTGCCGTAGGGTCCATCTTTCGGGGCTCCTGGCCAGCGAGCCGCCTTGCCCCACAGACTGGACCTCTGCCGCCGTCCGCTGTGGCACCCTGATGACTCGGGTGTCCCAGGAGAGCGCGCCCCCGGCCACCGGTGGCCTACGGAGCCGGGGCGCGGGGTCCAGGCACCCTGAGCCCAGGAGCGAGGCCCTCGGGCACCTGCGGCCCCCATCAGGGTCTCAGTGAGCAGCTGGAACCGGCCTGTGCCCGGTGTGCCGCGGCTGTACTGTAACTGGCACACAGCTAGGTAGGGGAGGTGATGCGCCCAGCCCTCCAGGCCCCCACCGGTGTCCAAACCGTCACACAGCAAGAGCACTGGGGCCCCAACCTCCGGGGACTTGGGGGCCCCTCCTGGGACTGGGGTCACCACCCCCCGGTCAGTTCCGCTCAGGCCACAGCTTGCATCAGATGAACCCCAACCAGTCCCGGGTGCCCTCCTGGGTGGGGGAGGGAGGGCCCCGACACAGGCGGCCTCGGGTGGGCATGGCGGGGGAGGCGAGTGGCCCTCCGGCGCTGGGCCCTGAGGCGTGGGGTGTCCCCGCAGCCCCTTCTCCTTCTGACGACTGCCTCCAAGCTCAGGGAGGCCCTGAAACAAGGGGGGCTCAGGGAGGCCCTCCAAACAAGGGGGGGTCCTGTGTGGAAACTGCAGGGCCTGCGAGGGCCTCTGGGACGCTGGCGCCTGGCCCCTGGGCCCAGGAGGCGGGTCAGCACGTGACCCTCGGCCAGGCACGGCTCTGACGTTGTGAGGCTCCGTGGGCAGGGGGCGAGGGGGGAGGCGCCCCTACAGGCGTGGAGGCCACAGGCCAGGTCCGGGGCAGCTGCGGCCCGGTCTCCCCTGCGCCCAGCGGCGGGCTCTCTGGAGAGGGCTGCGGGC